GTTTGGGCTTTGCTTCTGTGAAGACTGACAGCCTTGGAGACCCTGTGGTGCAGTTCCACTCTGTCCTCTAGGGGCGCTGTGAGTCAGAATGGACTCCATGGCAGTGGGTGTCGTTTGGGCTTTGCTCCTGTGAAGATTGACAGCCTTGGAGACCCTGTGGTGCAGTTCCACTCTGTCCTCTAGGGGCGCTGTGGCTCGGAATGGACTCTACTGCAGTGGGTGTGGTTGGGGCTTGGCAGTGGGTGTGGTTTGGGCTTTGCTTCCATGAAGACTGACAGCCTTGGAGACCACCGTGTTGATCCATGGGTAGAATTCTCATTCCATGAGGGAGACCCAGGTTCAACGCCCAGCCAGTGCACCTCCCGCACAGCCCCCACCTGTCTGTTGGGGCGTTTGCATGTTGCTGTGAAGCTGAACAGGTTTCAACAGAGCCTCCAGACTCCGACAGAAGAAGAGTTGATGCTTTCGAGTCGTGGTGTTGGTGAAGAATACTGAATGTCCCATGGACTGCCTGGAGAAGGAACCAGTCTGTCCTGAAATAAGTGCAGCCAGAATGCTCCTTGGAAATGACACTGGCCAGGCCTCGTCTCACCTACTTTGGACATGTTACCAAGTGGGACCAGACCCTGAAGAAGGACGTGCTGCTTGGTAAAGCGGAGGGTCAGCGAAAAGGGGGAAGGCCCTCAACGAGATGGACTGACACGGGTTCAACGGTGGGTTCACACTCGGCAGCGATTGTGAGGCTTGTGAGGCAGTGCTGCGTTCTGTTGTACGTGGGTCACTGCGAGTCGGAACCGACTCGGGCACCTAGCAACAACAGTGATGCTGAACGGGTTTTAGCAGAGCTTCCAGACCTAAGACAGGCCCTGAGGAAAGGCCTGGTGCCCTGTCTCTGAAATCAGCACGTGCAGACCCCGTGGAACAGAGGTTCTGACATGTATCCGATCGTGGGGGGCGGGGTGCAGGACCCGTGGTGCATGGGGCCGACTTGATGGTGGGAGCTCTGGTGGCATAGTGCCTGAGGCACTTGACTGCTAACCAGAAGGCTGGCGGTTCAAACCCACCAGCCACTCCTCGGAAGGAAGACTGGGCAAAACCCCAGGAGGGGTCACTATGAGTCGGACTGACTCGACGGCAGTGAGTTTGGGTTTTTTTTGAGTTGAAGGACGTAGTGCACCGTGTGACAGTTTTTTCCACATTGGCAGGCTTTGCGGCTTTTTCCAGTCTTGAGCCGTGGGTGGGCTCCTTGTCCCCGCCCTCGTCTGTCCTGGCAGTTATCTGTCCTCTGGGTCGCCCCTCCTGACTGCGAGTTGCCATCCTGACGACACCCTCCTGCCTCCGTGGCTCTGGCTGGACACTCAGCCCTTCCCTGTAGGCCCGGTGTAGGTGCCGCATGTCATAAACAGCGCTGGCTGGTGCCCTGGCCTAGCCTTCCTCCTTCCTGCCCCTCCCTCCCTCCCTGCTCTGTCCTCCAGGCCAGCATCGGTGCCCCACAGCCCCCGTCGACGCACCAGCCTTGGGTGGTACTTTCCAGGATTGGAGGAGGTCCTCTTGCCCTGGGTCCCTCTGCATCCAGCGCTCCCTGGTCAGATGTTCCCAGGAATTGGCCACACCCTCAGGCAGGGAGTGGAAACCCACTGGTGTTAATCTCCTCAGGGCCCCGCCTCCTCATGGGTGGGGCTCAGAGCAGAGAGACTGCGGGTCGGGACCAAGCAGGGCTAGGAGGGCGGCTGCCAGAGAGCACTGTCATTCCCGTCACCTTTGTCCCAGAGCTCCGTGGGCAGCTCAGGCGGGGTCAGCCACACTGTGTCCCCCGGCACTGCCGTCAGTGGCTAGAGGAGCACCGTGGCCTCCACGTCTGGGCAGTGGACAGTCGGACCTCGAGGCTGCCGTGAGGCCTCAGAGCTGATCGGCCTGCCCACGCACCGCAGCGAGACTGGCGTGACGGAGCGAGGCGGGCGCGTCACGGAGCGGCGGCCACACCAGCCCGCCTGCTGCTGATGCTGAAGAGGGCCTTCTGCAGCGCCTCTGTTCCTGCCCCGGGCCGCGCACCCCTGCCCCGGGCCGCGCCTGGGGCTGCTGCCCTGCAGACCCGAGTGGGGCGGACCTCAGGCGCCTGTCCTCAGAGCGGGTTCTGAACCGTGAGCTTGACGGCTGTCCCCTACACAGACAGACAGACGTGAGGACGATGTACTCATTGACACACACCCAGACACAGAGACACCCAGACGCATACACACACACACCAGGTGTGTGTACACACAGATGAACATGCATAGACACACTAACATATACAGACACAGATATGTACATACACACAGAGACACACTGACACAGAAGACACAGCAACATACAGAGCTACACACAGACATACTGACACAGAAACACACATATATGTACTTATATGCACACAGGTTTACTCACACATATAGATATAGAACATACAGATACACACAGATCCAGAGATACACACACACAACAGACAGACACAGAAAAATAAACACTCTCACACATACAGACAGGAACACTCACACACGCAAACACACGTATACACACACAGACCCACAGAGATACACACATACAGCAGACAGCTACACACAAACACACATGCAGACAGAAACACACAGGCACACATACTCACACACAGACACGTACAAATACCCACACATAGTCACCAAAACATACACACAGATTTCCTCTCACACACAGCTACACACACATTCAGACACAGACCTACAGACTAACACACACTAACACATTCCCATACACACAGAGACACACATTCACACAGACATACAGACACACACAAACACATTCACACACATACATGCAAACATTCACACATCCGTACACACATACATACACAAATACATTCACACACAGACATGTACACACAGTTTCACTCACAGATGCATACAAACATACACAACACACATTCACACACACACACAGACATGCACAGGCACTCACATGTATAGACACAGAAGTACACACAGACACATACATCCACAGCCATTCATGCACACAGGTCCACACAGGCACATACATAGCCATATGTACACAAATGCAGTCACATAGATTCACACACACACACCCCTAGAAGGTTCCCAGTGCAAAGCAGTGGCCAGGATTGCTTTCTGACTGGTCTGAGGACAAAGTACAAAGTCCCAGGGACCAGATGGGAGAATCAGGCTGGGACTCGGGGCTCAAGTCCTCATCGATAGCGTGGGCAGCTGAGGCTTGGCACGAGCCAGACAGTGCCTGGGACTGTGGGCTCTGCTGCTGCGCCCTGACTCACCCTGGCCTCCTCCCGCTGGGCCGGGGAGGTTGGGGGGTTGGAGGGGACCGGAGAGGCAAGGGCTGAGGAGCGCTGTGGGCCGCCTCAGCCGCGTCCCTTCCTGGAGCCCAGGGGACGTGGGGCTCAGTCTGAGGACAACGTAGGGCACATGTGCTGCTGGCATTGAGGGAGTGGCTGGGGCGCCTGCTTACCCACGAGGCACAGGGCAGCCCCCACCCCAACAAAGACTCGACCCCGAGGGCAGCAGTGCCCCTGTCTGACTTTCCTCCAGGGGCTGTGAAGTGCCTGACAGAAAGCTGGCCCTGCAGCCTGGGAGCTGCCACCTGCAGGCCAGAGAGACCCGTGGCCGGGCCGAGCCGGCTCCTTCTGCAGAATCGGGGCCCCACCCCCTGACCCTACCTTTGATGACAGGTGGGGCAGCTGGGGCTGGGCGTGCAGACAGTGCCGTGAGCCAGCCAGCTCCTGACTAGATGCCCGCCCCGGGCCAGGGCCAGGGCTGGGGGAGCAGCAAGTGGGTGCTGTGGCCTCCGGCAGCCGGGCAGTGGCCCTGGACCCAGTGCAGGCTGTCCCCTGTGCTGACATCCAGTGCGTGTCATTTCCGCCCTTAGGCAGAAGCCACAGAGGTATCTTGGGCATTTGCTGGGAGGGGCATTGAAGCCAGCCCATGAGAGGGTCCCTGCCTGCAAGCCCAGGGAGCCTTAGAGTCCAGAGCAGGCCCTGGTCAGGAACACAGCCCAGGCGGCCCTCTGCATGGACACGGGCAGGGGCATGGCTGGGTAGCTCTCTGGGTGCGGGTACAGGCAGGCAGGGGGCACTGCCGGGCCAGCTCTCTGGGTGGCAGGGAGGGTGCACCAAGGAGGCGGTACACTGCCAAGGTCCAGACCCCGTGTCGGTCCAAGGGTCGGGCAGCAGCTGCCGGCAAAGAGGTATTCTGGGCGTGGCAGGCGAGGCGGGCACCACAGCTGGGAGTTGGCTGCAGTGAGCATTGGGTGGCTGAGCAGGGACTCCCGTCCGCCCCCCCGCCTCTTACATGGTACCCCCGCCAGAGACCGGGTCATTGGGGGTGCCACTGTTCGGTCCCTGGCAGACGGCAGAGGAGGACTGCCCAGCTGGGAGGGTGCAGACCAGGGGTCGCCTTCGGTGCCACCGGGTGACCCTCCGGAATTTGAAGTAGCAACAGGGCGTGGCTCAGTAGGTGCCAGGGCTCAAGCCTGCCTTTGGACACGTGGGGAGCCGTGTGGGGGTCTGAGGGGGGTCAGCCATGGCGGCGCGCCGGGCAGGGCCGCTCGGGCCTCACCGACTCTGACTGTCATGTATCTACAGGGAGAGCTGGACCTGGAGAAGGGCTTGGAGATGAGAAAATGGGTCTTGTCTGGAATCCTGGCCAGTGAGGAGACCTACCTGAGCCACCTGGAGGCGCTGCTGCTGGTGAGGGCCGGCACGGGGCCCCTCCCCTCCCGGCAGCTGGCCCACCGTGGGAGGGTCACGGCAGCCCACCCCCAGAAGGCGACCTCCCTGGGGGCTGGCGTGGTTCGTATGAGACAGCTGCCGAGTCAAGCTGCCTCTAACCTGTTCTTTTTAGTCGGAGTTCTGAATAAAAGTGCACGTGTCACGTCCGCCATGGTCGCTGGCTGTTTCGTGCACCTGGGGGCAGTGCTGGTCTTGTGGTAGCATCCTTGCCTTCCAGGCGGGAGACCCGAGTTCGAGTCCTGGCTAGGCCGCTCATGTGCGGTCCCCACCCCTGTCAGGAGAGGCGCGTGTGTGGCTGTGGTGCTGGGCAGGTGTCAGCAGTGTCCAGACTCAGACTAGGAAGGACGGCCCGGACGGGAGGTTAACAGTGGAGATCCCCGGACACAGCGGTCGGTCTGACCCACAGCCGATAGGGGATGGCGTAGGGACGGGCAGCGTGCCACCCGCGTGAGTCAGGGACAGACCCAAGGACAGCAAACAGC